TGATGATTCATGGATGATCATGGAATTAAGAACTAGTGGGAGTAGACAAGCTGTTGCTGAGCGATGTGAGCAAGCCTTGGAACTTGTAAACCATGATAATTATCCAGTTAGTTCAAAGATCAGCTTTACAATCTCGCTCAGAAGCTTTTACAAGTTTGCCTGACCAAAGTAAAACATTGGGAATTGAAGAGAACAGAACTAACCCCTGCTTTTCGACATACAAGTATACAACAATTGATGATTTATGGTTTGACAAAGACAGTAGCAATACAAGTATACAAAGATTAGGATCGCCTTTTCAATTGTTAATTCCAATTGTTAAGCAGCAATTTTACAGTGGGGAAGCATAACTTTGGGTGGGGAATTCCAATCTAATTTGGGGAAGCATAACTTTTGGGTGGGTAAAGTAGCGGTAGTTTTACAGTGGAATTTCAATTCTAATTTTATGTACATTCTACGCTAGATCAGATACCAATGGAAAGATACTACTCAAGACAGGTCCAATCTACTCCTAATTTTCAAACTGAAGGTGTTGAAGCTAGTGGGAGTAGACAAGCTCAAACCTTTCCTCCTTCGTCGACAGTGGGAGCTCCTCAAATACAAGAACCAAATCTTTCAGGTTCAGTCAATCGAGCTCCTCAAATACAAAACCATATACAAGTATACAATAATTGATGATTCATGGATATTCATTTTGAAGTTGATGATTGAAGTGTTTGCAATTACGAATGAGTTGTCACTAGCATTGCAAAGGAGAGATCAAGACATTGTAAATGCTATGAAACTTGTTCATGTGGGAAAAGCTAGATTACAAGAGATGAGAGATCGAGGATGGGAGTCTCTACTTGAGGATGTTATCTTGTTTTTCACTAAGGAATCTGTTCACGTTCTTGGCATGGATGATGAGTATGTTCTTCCAGGACGGTCAACGCGCAAGGCTCCACAGATCACAAACTTGCATCACTATCAGGTTGAATTGTATTACTCTGTTCTTGATATGCAGCTGCAAGAGTTGAACAACCGTTTTGATGAGGTGAATACTAGGTTGTTGACTTGTATGGCTTCTCTTAGCCCGGAGAATGAGTTTGCTGCTTTTGACAGGGAGAAGCTGGTTAGTCTTACTCGATTTTATCCTACAGAGTTTGGTCATCTTTCTGACTCTTTTCTTCTAAGGGACATTGAGAATTACTAATATTCTGTGAAGAATGATGAGTTATTCCATGGATTAAAAGGAATTGATGAATTGTGTCAGCTGATGGTGAAGACAAAAGTGAATCTATCATATCCATGGGTATATTTGCTTGTCAAAGTTGTATTGACTTTACCGGTTGCAACTGCAAGTGTTGAAAGAGCCTTTTCAGCTTTGAGTTACATCAAGAACAAGCTTCGGAATTGACTAGGCAATTAGTTTGTGAATGATTGTCTCGTAGGATATATTGAAAGAGATTTGCTGAATAGTGTAGACATGGAGTGTATTATAGTATATTTTCAGAATTAGTTTGATGCGACTCATCCCACCCACAAGCAACTCATTCCACCCACAAATATCCATTTCTCATCTTTGCCAACCGCCTTTGCACATTGCGGTTTTCAAACCCCTTTCACTCTCTCTCATTCTTTTCAACTCTCTGGATTTTTCCTCTTGGTTAAGTTTGCAAGAATGGAGTTTGCCCTTTTGTGCAATCTCGTCGGCCCGAAGAAGGATTCTATTGTTCTGCACCTTCGATTTCTCCACATGTGGGATGCGAAGGCTCCAGGCGATGTCAGAGTCTTCAACTTCTGCACTCTCTGGGTGGATGAGACGGTTCGTTGCATGAATTCTTTGTTTTTATTTGTGGATGGATCCAGGCTGCCTCATTGCTAACTCTGTTTGTTGTTTGATTTATTCGCTTATTGGCGCAGGGGATGTTGATTTATGGCCTTTCTCTTGCTGTGATGGCATCTGGGATCCGACAAGCATTGCGTGTGGGTAGGATATATATGCTTAAGACGTTTGGCCTCAGCAATCCGCCAAATCTCTATTGAGCGTGCTCTTTGATATTTCTCTCGGTATCACGCCGTCCACCTCTCTTTCCACAAATGTCATCTTCCTGCTCAGAGCTTCGTGATTGATAGCTATGAGTTCCAGCCTTTTGCTCAGTTGTTTTCACGTTCTGGCGACCATCGCCTATTGACAGGTGGGGTATATGGAGTTTTGTTACGTGTTGTTTCTTTCCTTTCTCTCGTTGTCTCTCTTACCTTTATTTTCCATGTTTGTGGTTGGTTTTCTCACATGTTGTTGGTCGTCTCCACTCAATTAGTGGGGTGTCACACAAGATCACAACAATGGCCCCGCTGTAAAGCTGACAGTCGTAATTGACAATGAGAGGTTGATCTTTGATGTGTGGTTATTTTGTTCTTGGTTTTGTTCATGTCCTATCTTTTTGGCTTCTTTAGTGGGGAGAAGGTTACGATCACTCTATGGGATGAATTCTCAAAGATAATCGACCACGTGGTGCTCACTTAGGCAGATGCGATTGAGACCGTCATTCTTGCATTTGGGGGGCTGTTGGTCAATAGGTTTGCAGGTGTGTGACCTTCTTTTTGTGTTATCTTCCCATTGTTCTTTTCTTCTCGACTCTGTTTCGACGTCTCTGTCCAGTTCACCTGCTACCCGAGTGTCAGTTAACCCGCCTGTCCCCGAGGCGTGCCGACTTGCTCATATGTGCTGGTTTGCAGTCATTTTGTGGTTTGTTTGGCTTATGTGTTGTACTCATTGATTTTGTAGTTTGTTTTTTGGGTTCAGGTTTGCTAAAACGCGCGAAGTGGTTGGTTCTTTGCTCATCGAGTTTGCAACGTCGGAAGAAGCTGCTACTGATGTAGAAAGGCGGACAAGGACATTGACACAACTTATTAATCTTTCTCAGACAAGTGCTTCTTTGGTGGGTGCCAACCTGTTTCATTTGATTGTGTGCTCTTTGTTTGGTTTTATGACTATATTCTTTGCTTTACAGGAAGAGATGCATCGTTGTGGTGGAGTAATTGTGGACGTTGAGTCTCACATCCCATGGTACTATAATTCGTGTAGATTGTGCAACAGAGTTGTTTCCCGACGTCGTGATATTACATTTTGGTGTCCTAAAGATTGGCAAATTACAGGAGGATAAGACTCGAGTTTGGTGAGTGGATTGGGAAGGATGTCTCTCTACTCTCTTTATTTCGCTTTGTTTTCCTTTGTGTTGATGTTCTTTTTTCGTGCAACTATAAGCTTCAACTTACTCTCAGGGATGACAACAATGATGCTCGTTTCATTGTGATGGGAAGATGTGGTCATGCTTTGGTTACCATTGCTGCTTCGTATCTGGCACAGAGATTCCCCTATCGCCCGTGGCAGCTGCCTCCTCACCTTGCTCAGCTTCATGGGAAGTATGTGAAATTTGACTGCAAACTTCCTTTGCCAGCCCCCACTAGTATTTCTTCTGGGGAGTTCCGCGTGGTTCAGGTTGTCTCACTCGATGACCCCACGGTGGTTGGTGATCTCTTGGAGTATCATCGTAGGCCTGATCATCAACTTGCATTGCCGGCTGTTGGTCAAAAAGTTGCAGGAAATCAACCACTTCTATCGTCTGCTGCATAAAATCTTGCCTCTAGCCCAAGCTCATCGAGGTTGACTTCTTTCGTTTTTTTTTTGTTGCGGCTTCTGTGTTGTTTACTTGTGATTTTGGATAGATAAAACGTAATGTTCATCGCAGTTTTTGTTGTTTTGTGTGCCTTTAGTGTTTCCAAAGGGAAAGAAAAGGTGTCATCCACTGTTCCAGTAAACTTCTCGACCCTAGAGTTTAGTATTGGGTCCCGCGATGTTGATTATGTCAGGTTGCTTTTTACTCGGGTTGTCTGTAGCTGAAATGTGTTGTTGTTGGAGTACCTCTTTTGGATAATGACGGTCAGCTCGCTTATATGTATGCGCATGTTGGTGTCGAAGGGTTGTGATTTTGGCCTGTGCCAATTGGTACGACATTTGGGAGTTTAGAACTTCATAAATGTATATGGTTGTGTTAGTGACTGAAGACTATCTTCCATTTTCTGAGCAAAAATTGTGCATGTAATTCATGTGCCTGTATATGTTATGTATGTCAGAATAGTTGTTTTAATTATAATATATAAGAGTGTTTATTCCTTCATTTGTTTCATCCGATGATTTTGTTACTTGCAAGTCCTAGATGATGCTGCCCTATGAGTGTGATGTTGCTGGAGGATTCTATTTCTTTTTGTTATAAAAATGATGTTCGACGCATTCTGGTAGAAGGCAGTTGGTCTATGTTAGAGCCTATTTGAGCATCCAAATTGTTTTTAGCAAGAGATGCGGAATCTCATTACGTTGTCATAATGTGTTTTCAAATTGCGTAAGAGATCAGAAGGATAGTTCGAACAATGCATAGTATTATTTGTTGTTGGACTGTCCAATCACTTAGAACCTTGCTAGTATAATTGACTATGGTATGATAAATTTGGGAGGGTCTTCATCGTTTTCTGATCAGGGTTTGGTGTTCAGTTATTTTGGTTAGGCTCCTTTGGTTAGACAATATCGGTAGTGTGCAGTGTTGTCAGCATTAAATACATCTGCAGATGCAATCATTCATTCACTTAACTAAAGAAGAGCACCCAAATTGTGATTAGGACCCCTTTGTCTAATCCAAAATTCATCACATTAAATGCTCCACTTCCCTCACTTGTGATTTGACTAATATAATATGCTTCCTTTGTTAATTGTGACCCACGATTTCAAATTAATGAAAACTGAACCTTTTTCTTTCATTGTCTTTTTTCCAGACTCTTCATCTGGTCAGTGCCATCTATAACTGTTTTTCATCAAAATCCAGCAGCGTTGGTTTGGTAAAACTCTTGGTTGGTGCATCAGAGAATGTATTGTTGCCATCTTTCAGTTCTACCAACTTTCTTGTAGACAGGTATGAAGATAGTGTGCTCACCAACGTTTCATTCTCGGGAATTTATTGCTCTTCTGTGAAATGACAAATTTATTACCACCATTTATGTATGCAGGTGCGTAGCAACCATTGGTGGCTAAGGCATTCTTCATTTTGGTGTCTCTTAGGTACCATTTATTGCTCTAGAGTTTTTATGCATGCTATTAAGTTTGTTCATTAGTGCACCCAAGTCGTGTTTTCATTCTCTCTTTATACCCCAACAATGCCTCTCAGAAAAAAGAAAGCACATAATCAAACTCTCTTTATACCCCAGCAATCGATCCTTGATCTTGCTGCTGTCTTCCACGATTCGAATGCTATGATGTTAGTGAGACTCCAATGGACTCTCCCACGCAAACAATTTGCTCAATTGAACACAAATCACTTGGCTCCAATTTTCCAGTTTCCGGTGTTAAAATCCCAGAATCCGGCAACTTCAAGGTTTTCGGCGAGCACTCCAAATTTAGGCGTTTCTTCTCGAAGCATCCTCGATCCAATTCAGCACTCACAATCGACTCGCCTGGATCCCAGGTGCCTATTCCAGTCATTACATTGCTTCGAATGCGTCCAATTCGTTTCCAATTGGAAGTCCCTTGTTTCCCACCGTCGGAAGATTTGAATTTTCCAGATTGCGGCGAGCGAAACCCAGAATCGAGCGAGCCAAAATGAAAATTAGGGGGGTTTTATCCTGACATTGCTGAGATGAATTGATCGCTCACACACCTTCCTTTGACCTCCATTAATGATTCTACATCTCTAGCTTGGTCCAATTCACTCCCGAACTCCACAACCAACTCTCCCTTTTCACCTTCGTTGTGTTTCACGTTTGGACCCGAAATTTGCGAATTGAGCTTTGTGATCCAGGGGTCTTCGCAGCCAATTGAACGATCCTACACAATCCCATCCCTTGATGGTTTTGCAGCACGAATACGACTCGAATTGAGCTCGAGAACCCTGCATAATAAGGGGTCTTGATCGCCCTTCTTTGTCACAAACGGAGATGTTGCTGGCGAATTCAAAGTGGCAATTTCCATCAATTCATATTCCGTTGGAGCTACTAGTAATGTTCCCAAGGTCGAAAGGAATTTCTCGGCATTGGCGGCGAGTCTCGATGCACTCCCCAGTGTCCCGACCAATCCGTTCTCTCTTTAGCTCTATTTTGCGGGAACATGGGTGAGTTCTTGAATGCTAGTCGTTGGAGGCGTTCGATCAGTTTCAGCCCTCTATAGAGCTTCCTCTTGAATCTTAGTCGTTCCCCCATCCTTTTGAAAAAATTATGTGCCGATCTCGTGTTTCCACATTCCTCCTCCTCCTCCTCCTTCATCGTCAAGGCGCCGTAGCACGGAGCTCTGTTTTGGGGAAACAGAACAGGGGACGTTCTGGCAGGGAGTTCAGGTAAGAAATCTTCCTTCTGAGGCATCCTTAAGCTCATGAAATTGAAGCCAAGGGGTCTCTTAACCCACAACTGAGATTGAACGCTCTTTCCCTCATTCCTATTCTCCTCCATTGTCTTGAGATCGGCATAAACTTCGTCGGGCTCATAGGCTTCAATTTGATCTTCTTGCCTTCATGTTTGAACGTGTATGAGTTCTCCCAACCATCATGGATAACCCTTCTGTCAAATTGCCAAGTCCTACCCAACATAATATGAACGTTTTGCATTCGAACTGCGTCACGGAGAACTGTGTCTCGGTACTTACCAATGCTGAATTCGATTGTCACCTGTTTGTTGACCTTCAAGACTCCATGCTCGTTGAGCCAGTTGAGGTGATAAGGTTTGGGTTGCTTCTGTGTCTCCAATTCCAGCTTTTGTACTGCATAAATACTTTCAAATTTGCACAACTTCCTCCATCGATCACCAAGGATGCTATTTTGCCATTGACATTGCATCGTGTATGAAAAAGGTGGTCTCTTTGTTTGTCGGATTCAAGATGCTTGATGACGACTGTTGGCTGCTTCTTTTGGCCTTGAACTTGTGCCTGCTGCTCCTCGGTACTGCCCTCTACCAAATCCTTTGCTAGAAGGGAGTTTTCCATCGCGATTTCACAAGAAACAACAGCTTCAGGGTACGTACAGAGGCTGCCCTATTTGAACACGAAGTTGGCTTGTACAGATGTAGTCGATTGCTTCTTCTCCTTCGCCCTTGTGTAGAACCAGGCTCTGATACCACTTAATACACCCCTGGGGGTGTATATTATCAAAGTAAAGCAGCAAACAATCAATCAGAAGATTGATTGAACTCGAATCAAGAACGACGCGTTCTTAATACGAAATTGGGATAAAACGGAACCAACGGACAATTCCACACCTGAGGAAAGCTCCTATGGTATAAAAGAGTATTTGCTCGACCACGATTGAAGGTACTATTCAATCGATACACAAGCACAACAAGTTTGAAATCCACCAAACCCAAAACAAGCCACAACTTGCACAAACCAAACGGTTTCGATTTCTATTCAACAAAGTCTACTTTACAACGTGAATTTGAAAGCTATTTAAAGGCAATACAAACCTAATAAAAACCTAATGTAACTTGGAAACAAATAAGGTAAAATTCTACCCTAAAAAGGTTACAAAATTCAGACTCAAACTTCCTTTCTTGAAGCACAAGTAAGTTGTCAGCTAACAGTCCAAAAACAGCTTTCGTACTAACTTTGTGCCATTCGTTCGAGGCCTTCCAGAACTCCAATCTTTCATCCAATTCCTTCCCTTGGTAGATAAACATACATAATTTAATGTTGTGGAAGCATTTGAGATCCAAGATCCTTGAATTGAGCTCCAAAGTAGGCTTCACAAAACAGTTTTCTGACTTGGCCATTTTCTGGCAGTTTTCTATTTTTGACATAGGCTTTTGGTGAGCTTGGAAAATAACCTTCCCGACTTCTCCTTGAGAAACCAAGCATACCAATGTGTAGATAAACGTTCCATCTTCAATAAAAGCACTTAATTGAATTTTCATCAATCCAATTGTGAGAACCATGCCTCCAAAGTGGGAATCTCGAAACTGTTCCAACACTTTACCAAAATATAGAATTTTTCATGTGAGTTGAGATGTCTTCTTTGGCAAACAATTGTGGATTGTGAATTGATCCAATTTGGATCATATCATAAGACCCTCATCTCCTTCAACCCTTCATGTCATTATGCTCTTCTTCTCAATGAGCCTCTTTGGTACTCATACCCAACACTTGTTTTTTCCTGCCCACCGAAAATCAAAGAGAATGCCTAGGAACAAGATCAATGATCACTTTTCTTCATCCAAGACAATAACATAAATGTAACCAGTAAAACAACAACTAGATTAAAAGTATAGATATTGTTGAAGTGCAGAAATAGAACTTCATACATACTGTAACACTATGAGGGGAAAAGAGCCAAATTAGCGAGTTATAGTATCAAAAGTTCCTCGCTATGAGGCAATGAAACCTGATAATAGATAAAACGATGTTAGCTTGTTAACATAACATCAAAAAGCTCTACAATCTTGCAACATTTTTTAAATTATGTTAAAATGACCTTGGCACAAGCTAGCCTGACAATCCAACATGATAAAGGGACTGGCGAGGGAGTTCTCTCTAGAAAAATCAATTGGTACTAAGTTTAACAATTTGAACCATGAAAATATTTGGAGGACATATTTTCCCGGAGTAAGATCACTCTTACCACCAAGTTACTAATCTTCACCTCCAAATAAAATAACGGCCTCTTAAGGTGATCCACTAACTTGGTCGAAACAATTTTTTATAAAAAAAAACCAATTAGCAACAAATAGTGTCATATACAGGGACATATTATAATTGTCACTGATAATTTTATTTCAGAGGCTAATATATAATGTGCCTCTAATATGTATCGCTATATCTCCATTTTCTTGTAGTGGCAGCAAATGTTACTGCTACAGTGAGTCAACACCAACAATTTGTTTCTCCTACAATTGAGTTTTCCTACAAAACAGGAAACCAGTTCCATACATCAAAGCCAACACTGGAGAAAAAAATGGATACATGCCAACAACACGACCTCCAAAGAAAACACTCATTGAAATGAAGACTAAGCTTGCTTCTCAACCTAGTTGCCACAAGGTAGTTGCCAACATGATTCCTTGCACGACATAAGCATTCAGTGCTTCTCATTTTTTGTCCATTTATATCTATACAAAAAATTTCATTTTGTTTTGGTTCTTCATCGCTGCAAGTTTTACATCTCATGATTCATCTACAGAAAAAGTATCTTCAAATCAACGTAAAAATGGAGGAAAAAAATATTATATGATCAGGAATGGGGTGTTCACGGGTTTTATTTTGGTTGAAGTACCAAATCGGTAGGCGCCAAAATCATCAATCAAAGAATGAATTGGTTAGCCGTAATTAAATATCGATGATTCTTACCAAAAAAAAATTAACGACTAATGAATTTTTCAGTGTTGTCAATGTAGAATTTGTCTAAAATGTTACATTACACTCTCGTTTGTACTCAATGACATCATTGAGGTTTGCCCTACTATCATTCTAGAAAAAAATGCAAACAAAACTCTTTATCTACTTTAACATCTTAACTTTTTTTTGACAATGATAACCATTTAACTGACTATCAAGCCTAAGAGTAACCACAAAAATTTTGATTGAATTAAGAGAAGATAACATACATGGGTAACATTGACATTAACATTGTCTTAATTATATGAGTTATGTTCTATTTAGTGTTCCTTATAGTTAGTTTGGTGATCAATCTATGCAGTTCTCACAACATTGAACCTAACAACAATTGAAACCATAAGGCTTGAGTTTCTCATTGATTCACTTGTGTTTATATATTACAGCCATCGCAGAAGAAAACAAGAAAGAAACCAGAGCATACATTTCTTGGTTTGCTTGAAAAGGAAACTAAGCATGTCTTGGCTGTGAAGTAAACGATGGCCAAAAACAAGAGAAGCAGAACAAACACGTTTTTAATAAAAGGTTCGGATTGAGAAGTTTCAAATCATTGGTCTCAACGGTCACATTGAAATCAAAAGGGAATTTGAAACCCTTTGGTGTTACCCCCCCCCCCCCCCCCACGGCAAGCTGGTTGGTAGAGATCGCGCACACCGAGCTTGGAGATGACAAAACGTAATGGAGCTGGTGATAAAGGTTTGTGAACAAATCTGCCAACTGGTGAGTGCTGGAAACATGAAGGAGCTTGATCGTGCGACTGAACAGCTTTTCACGAACAAGGTGACAATCCAATTCAACATGCTTTGTGCGCTCATGAAAGGTTGGATTTTGAGCAATGTAAATGGTACTTTGATTGTCACAGAAAAGGGTTGTTGGTTGATGGTGAGGTACCTGAAAATCACGAAGCAAGTAAAGAAGCCACTGTATCTCGCAGGAGGTGAATTCAAGTGCTCGGTATTCTGCCTCACATGAAGATCGTGACATAGTCTTCTGTTTCTTGCACTTCCAAGAGACAAGAAAATATCAAAGATAAATGGCATAGCCAGAGATGGATCACCTGGTGTCAACACAAGTTTCCTAGTTTGAATCAGAGAAGGCTTTTAAGTGAAAAGAGCCATTGCTGGAAAAGAAGAGTCCTGTTGCAGGAGCACATTTGAGGTAACAAATGATTATCTGAACTGCTTTGAAATGGAGAACGTTGGGATTAGCCATGTACTGACTAAGTTGTTGTGTAGCATAGCTTATGTTTGGTCTTCTAGTGGCAAGATAAATGAGCTTGCCAACAAGTGTTCTGTAGAATTCAGGATCTTCATATGGTGAGGAGCAATCACTTGAGAGATGCAATTTTTAATCCATAGGGGTGGTGAGTGTCTTAGAATCACGGAGTTGTGCTTCTTCAATAATTTTAAGAGTGTACTTTCTTTGTGAAACATGAATGCCAGATGCATTTCTTCATGTCACCCATGTCTTCGATGCTAAATTCAGTATGTAATGCTGTCTTCAAAGCTTCAATCTCAGGCAAGTCATTGCCACCAAGCACAAGTCATTGTTTCTGTAACCTTATAGAAAAGGAAGTGGTCAACTTGGCTCTGAATGTACTTGTAGCTTATCAACTTGTCGGTTAGCTTAGAAAACCATTTCCTGGAAGCTTGCATCATTCCATAAAGCGACTTTTTAAGTATGCAAACAGGATTTGTAAAGCTAGGGGGAGGAGAAAATTCTTTAGGTAGAGTCATATAGACCTCTTCCTGCAAATCTCCATGGAGAAAGGCATTATTCACATCTAATTGGTGAATATGCCAGTTCCTCTAAGCAATGGCAAAAAAAATTCTCATTGTTGTCATTTTGATAACTGGGGCAAAAGTATCTTGATAGTCAACTCCTTTCCGTTGGGTATGAACCTTAGCAACAAGCCTTGCTCGAAATTTGTCAAGTGTAGCATCAGGATTCAATTTCACTTTATAGACCCACTTGTTCCCAATAGTTTTCTTTCCTAGAAGCAAAACAACAACATCCCAAGTTTGGCTGCGAATGAGAGCACTAATTTCATGTTGCATAGCAGCATTCCATTTATCAGATAGAGCTGCTTCTTTGTAGGTATTTGGTTCTTTGTAAGTAGAAAGGGTGAGAACAAAATGTTTATAATGTGGCGAAAGAGAATTGTAGGACATAGAAGAAGAAAGTGAGTACCTTTTGTCTTGAACCTTTTGAAGAGGAGAATGACTTAGTTTGCCAGTTTGTTGAAGAAGGTAACAATGGTAATCTTGGGTGAGGAGAGCTGGGGGTTTAAATTGTCTGTCAGACCTTCTGAGGACAGGTTGTGGAGGTGGTGGAGGTGGGACTGGTGGTTGAGGGGAAGGAGAGACGGGTGAAGGAGGATCAGGGGATGAAGGATGAGGAAGAGAAGGAGAAATGGATGGGTTAGGGGATGGAGGAGGAGAACTGGGAACATCAGGAGTTGAAGTTGTAGGCTGGATGTCTTCAGGATGTAAATAGGGTGAAGGAGTTGGGAACATGTTAGTAGAATCCTGTGAATTGTTGGTAAGGTTCTGGAAAGGGAAATGGCTTTAAAAAAAGATCACATCTCTAGAAACAAATGTATCATGAGAAGACAGATCATGAATTTTGAAACCCTTTATACCTGATACATAACCAATGAAAACTCATTTCCTTGCTCTTGGAGCAAATTTGGTTCTATGGTTGGCCAGAGTGCTGGCATAGCAAAGTGAGCCAAAAACTTTGAGGTCTGTGAAATCAGGAAGGGTGTTGTGAATTTTTTCATAAGGAGTTTTGTTGGCTAAGATGGATGTAGGGACCCTATTGATTAGGTAAACAACATGTCTAATACTGTCACCCCAGAAACCAGCAGGTAATGCAGCCTGAAACATGAGAGCTCTAGCAATAGCAAGAATATGCTGGTGCTTTCTCTCCACCTTGCTGTTCTGCTGGGGCGTTTCAAGACAGGATAATTCATGAAGGATACCAGTGGATTGGAAGAAATCATCCATATGAAATTCTCTCCCCAGCTCACTCCTGATCTTTTGAACATTGATGTTAAACTGTCTTTCAATTTGATGACAAAAATGAATAAGTTTTGGTCTAGCTTCACATTTGAGTTCGAGCAAAATAATGCATGTCATTCGAGAGTAATCATCAACAATGGTCAAAAAATATTGAAAGCCATCATAAGTAGGAACAGGGTTTGGGCCCCAAATGTCAACATGAATCAACTAAAAACATCTTTGTGTTACAGTTTGACTAATAGGAAAAGAAAGCCTCCTTTGCTTAGCAAAGTGGCAAACATCACAGGGCTGATCTTTGAATGTTTGAATGGAGGTACAAAATTGAGAGAGATATGGTACTCTGGTATGGGAGACATTCTCTAACCTAAAGTATCAAAGATCAAAAACAGTGGCCCTAGCAGCAGTGAGGAGTTTAGGTTTACAATCTACTTCTAGGTGATAGAGACCATTGTGAAGCCTAGCAGAACCAGTCATTCCCTTCATCTCCAGGTCCTGTATAAGACAAAAGTCAGAGTAGAAATTCAAGTAGAGGGGTTTTCTAGTAGTGAGTTTACTCACTGAAACAAGATTGAAGGTGAAGTGTGGAACAAATAACACTTCTTCAAGAATGAGAGAAGAGCTGCATTTAGCAGTGCCAACATGAGTGGCTTGAATTTGATCTCCTGTGGGTAAGGTAATGTAAACATTCTCTACCTTTCTGTGATCAGACAAGTAGTCTAGGGAACATGTAATGTGCTCAGAAGCCCCAGTGTCTAAAATCCAGTTAAAAGATGTTTTAACATGCTGTCCTTTAGTGGGAATAGAACAAAGGAATTTACCTGAAGCTGAAGGATTAGAAACATAAGCAGATCTAGAAAAGGAAGAACCCTTTTGGTTGTTCATTATGGACATGAGTTTGTCATACTTTGCTTTGGTGAGCTTGATTTCTTGATATGGTTACTCAGCCACAACAGAATTGACAGACTGTCCCTTTGTTAGAGGCATTCCTTGCTGCGATGTGAGGAGGGTATCCATGCTTATGGAAAGACATATCTTCTGTATGTCCTAGCTTTTTACAGAAGGTGCATTCATGTATGCGTGCTTGGGAACATGAGTTATTTGATTCATACCAGGTGGCCAACCATGAATATGATAACAGATGTCCTGAGTATGACCCTCCTTTTTGCAATGTGTGCAAAAAGGTATTTTAAAAGGAGGAAACCTCCTGTTACCTCCCTGCACAACCATAGACATAGAATCGTTACTAGCAGAGGCAACCATCTTTCCTTTCTGAGTACCATAGAGTTGTCTCTCATGCTGTAAAAGCCTTTGAAACATCCTATTGATGGTTGGTAACTCTTCTCCAAATAGAACTTGTGACTTAACTCCAACATAGTTTTCATTTAAACCTCTAAGGAACTTGATAACATAGTTGGTGTCATGATACTCTAAAACCTTCTTCAAGGCTTGACAGGTTAAATAACTGGTAGGGGTACAATTACAAGGCAATAAAGGCTGGTAATTGTCCAACTCATCTTTTAAAGTGATGCTTGTGCCATAGTACTTAGTGATAGTTTGGTTACCTTGGTGTAGAGAGGACAAGGCCACTTATAACTCTGCAACTCGTATGATATCACCAAATCCATATATGGACGGTAAACTCTTCCAGACATCTGTTGTTGTCTTGCAAGAAAGAATGGTCTTTCTTATCTCTGAATCCACTGCTTGTTGTATCCAACTCTGTATCATGATGTTGTTCCTAACCCGGGCACCATGAAGAGGATCTGCAGGATCTGGCTCTGGAATGGTTCCATTGATTAAACCAAACTTGTTCTTGGTAGCAAGAGTATTATACATTCCTCTGCTCCAATCATTGTAGTTGGTGGTGGTGAGTTTCTCTCCAACCAAGAGAAGACTAAGATGCTCAGATCCGGTCAAGAAGAAGTGATCTTCCATCTGGTAGACATTGTGTTGTACGTGCTGTTGTTGCTGCGCTTGATTCAGTCGGTGTTGTTGATTTTGTGGTTGTGGTGTTGGCTGCTCATCGTTTTGAGCATTAACATCCATGGCGGCGGCGGTAGCAAAGTTAGGTCAATGGCTCTAACACCATAACAACAATTGAAACCCTAATGCTTGAGTTTCTCATTGATTCCCTTGTGTTTATATTTTACAGCCATCGCAGAAGAAAACAAGAAAGCAACCAGAGCATACATTTGTTGGTTTGCTTGAAAAGGAAACAAAGCCGGTCTTGGCTGTAGGCCAAAAACAAGAGAAGCAGAACGACAACGTTTTTTAATAAACGATGAGGATTGATAAGTTTCAAATAATTGGTCTTCTTCCTCATTGGCGGGTGCAGGGACAACGGTCAAATTGAAATCCAAAGGGGATTTGAAACCCTTTGCTGTTAGACCCTGATTCCATATCCGATAGCTCCAACATCTAATGGGAATGGGTATAATAAAGTATAAACAAACTAATGGCAACGAGCCTTATTTTTGTTGTTTAAAGTAAAAATTATGGCGACAATTAGCAACTCCCAATCCAAAAATCCTTTAACATTATTAAAGAAGATTCTTCTAAACTTAAACAACTGATTGTAACCTTATTGGAATAGGAGTATAGCTACGTAAGTGATTAGAGTTACGTTTAGTTTCCAGTAAAAAAAAATTATGTTTAGATATTTTCTTTTGTATATATTAGTGTTAGGTTATTGATTTAGAAACAAAAGTTACTCAAAATCCCAAGTCAAAAGATGCCCTCTGGCGACAATGCAACAGCTCGAAGCCAAAACCCTCGCAACGCCGCCGGCCCCGCCGCCTCGTGGTTCCCCGAAGAATTAACCACACAGGTCCTGAGCAAACTCCCCACCGCATCCTCCATCCACTGATTCCGCTGCGTCAGCAAATCGTGGCGATCCCTCCTCTCCGATCCCGATTTCATCCGCCAAATCCTCTTCGACGACGAAACCAATCACCACCGCGCCGACGAGGCTCGGATTCTGGTCATGCGCAAGGACGTCGGCGGCGGGCAGACCCTATACTCCGTCCTCTCCTTCAACACGTTCCAACCCGTCGCCATCTCTTCCCCTGCATCGCCGGCCGACGTTATCTACCGGAATCCGAGAATCGTAGGTTGTTGCCACGGAATCTTCTGCATCTACGACTCCTCCGTCCACGAGATCACTTTATGGAATCCGACCACCTCTGAGACCAAGATCCTGCCCCCGATGTATCCGCAGTGCAAAGTTGGGTTCGGGTTCGACCCGAAAACGAACGACTACAAAGTAGTCGTAGCTAGGGGTGGCTATACGGTCCAGTCCGGTTAAATTGGCCCAAATTGATCCGGTCCAGTCTGGTCTTTTTGAAAATATAAGGACCAAACATTGGATTGGATACAGTCCGGTCTTGATCCGGTCCGGTTTTGATCCGGTCCGGTCTCAATTCGGTCTTGATTTTACATTGAGATTGTGGGATTTGAGTGGCCTAAGGCCTTAAAGGGTGAGGAGTCGGTTAAGTTTTGTACTAAGTGCAAAGGTTTGTGACCGTTTATGCAAATTACCCTTAAGTTTTGGGTGTTGAGCTCTCTTATCCGGTCTTTATCCGGTTTTTTACCTCAAATCTAAACCCAAAGATTGGATTGGATTGTTTACTATCCGGTCCCGGTCCGGTCTCGGTCCGGATTATACGGTCCGGTTTCCGGTTTTTAATCCGGTCCCGGTCCAAATAGCCACCCCTAGTCGTAGCCGCCTCGTGTCTCTCGGGGAAAGTGTACCCCGCAGTCTACAGCCTGAGGAAGGGTTCGTGGAGGAAGATGACGAACGCGACGGCTACCGGCGAACTGTACAACGACGGCTACCGCGCGATCAATCCCACGACGACCCGTCGGTGAAACTAGGTGTGTATTTTTCTTCCGAAAAAAAATTATTATGATTGAAATTTTCGTATATTAATTTGGCAAAATACACTTGTGTAGTCAAAACTTTGACGCTTTAGCCAAATATAGTCACTTTTGACGAAATACCAAAAATAGCCACTTCCGTCCAATTCTTTAACGGTGTGAATTAATGTGCTGACTGGACTAACAGATCATCCAATTTGGCAGTGTTCGTCCATTACGTATTCCCATGTAGATTTAAATAAAAGAACAATAAAAATATGAGGTTGGAATTAATGATAAAAATAAATAATTATTTTTTATTTTCTCTCTCTGCCTCTCTGCCTTCCCCTTCTCTTTCTCTTTCCCAACGAAATCCCGCTTTCCCAAATCATCTTCTTCCTTTCCCTTCCCTGCCCAAACTCCGACGATCAAAGAGGATGGCGTCGGCGGTGAAGAGAACGGGTGGTGGCTCTCCGCTGTTGTTTGCACTGCCGCCGGGCTCCTCCGCCTCCGTTCGCTCCCTTGTTTCGCTTGACTGTAGAGAAGTTAGTCTTCTCGATGGTCGGGATTCAGAACCTGCATCGATTCGTATCGCCCACGTGGACGGAGAATTGGTGAAAAGCGACCCCGATTCGATTTGAAAACCTTGAAATTCATCGAATGGAGGAGCACCACCCGAGCGAGCAGAAAACTGGGAACGATAGCTCTGCAACCACTGCCGCAGCGATCGCCTCCTCGTCCGTCATCGCGAAATCTCTCATTTTCTTGTGAAATTGAAGAGGGAACACCAGCAAGGATGGGGTGGGGATTGGGTAACTCTAATTTGGGCTAAAAGCTCTGCAGGGGGAAAACTAGGGAACGGGGTTTGTATATATATCCATGGCGGGTTTTAAAACTAGCTATGGACAATGGTGAAAGAAAGAGGAAGGCCGTGAGGGCATTTTGTGGAATAAAGAAAACAATTGAACGGCGTGTGGGATAGCGGTTGTTTTTTTTGCTGGGTTGTTGCAGGGAGATGACGGCAGGAGGAGCTGCAGAAGACGCTGACGATGGTGGAAAGGAGAGAGGACGACAACATCGAGTGGTGGGAGAGGAGGGAGAGGAGAGAGGATGAGTGATTTTTTTTTAAATTAAAATATGACATGGCATCCATGTGGCAAGTGTTGTTGAGTTGTCAATGATGTGTCCGGTAAGTTGGCAGCCAGGTAAGTATTCTGTTAATTTGACTAACGGTGTCACTAACGCCGTGAAAATATGGAACGGAAATGGCTATATTTGTCAAGAAACTTTCACAATTTTGGCTATTTTTGGTATTTCGTAAAAAAATGGCTATTATTGTCACAAACGTGAAAGTTTTGGCTACACAACTGAATTTTGCCTATTAATTTTACAGGTAAGTACAATATATTAGTCAAATCTTTGATTTAAATAAAACGTTAACTTTTCATCTAATTGACCGTTAGTTGACCACTTGACTATAACATGGCAAATTAATTGCTTAGTTAGAAATGTTTGTGACATGACAACTTAATGGACCGCCACATCATCATACAACACATTAAATATTAAAATTCACATAATATCCTTAATATCTATTATTTATCATTTAAACCAAAATAAAATTAAAAGTAAAAATAAAAAAAGTAAACCCTAATTCCACAGTTGGATCGATTGAAAGGCAGTGATGGAGGCAGATCGGGTGAGAGGGAAATTTTGAAACCCAATTGACCTTCAGGAGAGTACTCTACTATCGTGGGGGTGGGTGAGGGCTTTGTCGAGATGCACAATCCGAGGAGCCTGGACAAGTTCTTGCGGCGGAGGACGGCGGGATGGAACCCTCTCGTCGTTGATTTTTGCACTCTGGATTCCAGGTTGAACAACGAACCCTCACCATCACAGCAGTATCAATTCGATTCTCTCCGCCACTTTCTGCATCCACTCATTTCCCCAAGTTACCTCGCCGATCCCCAAAGAGGAATAGAAGAACAGAATCACGATTCGCCAACCCTAGACGAACGAGAGAAGAACCAGAAACCAAAGAAGATACCGGAGGGATAGGTAGAAATTAAAGCGAATCCCCGCATGCTCTGTGTGTGTGTGTTTCCTTTTTTCTTCGTCAACTGAGTTGCTCTATCTTCCGTGGCATCGCTCACTCATCTCTTTGCCTTTCTTCGGCGGACAGTGGGTCAGAGTATGACAGATGGTGTAGATTAAAGAGGCGGTGGAGATGAGGATGTAAGCGGACGAAGGATGAAGGTGGAGGAAGTGGAGATGCTCGGCTACGATGCTTAGGCTAACTCCAATGGAGCCTCTATATTTGGGGGAGCCTCTATATTTGGGGGAAAGTTGGCTCCAATGGAGCCTCTATAAATGAAGGAGTCTCTATATTTGGGGGAGATCTCCAAAAGGATCCCCAAATTTGGGGGTGGAAATGGGGGTTCCCCCAAATATAAAGACTCCCCAAAGCCCGCCACGTGGCGTTTCTTTTTAAGATTTTAAGGGTTAATTGGGGTTTAATTAGGGGATTAGTTAGAGGTTTAATTAGATCAATAATTTTCAAGTGTTGTGTGTAACCCAAATTAGGTCAATCATTTTTTGTCAACAAAAATTTGGTCTCAAAATTAAAAAAAATTCTACCGGAAAATTTGTATTTAAAAATGATGACGAACTATACAAAAATTAACATGAACAAATTATATTAAGACTTCGATAAGTACATTTTTAAGTAAATAGAAAACTTAGAAAATGGAGATCTCCAAATACAGAGGACGTAGCATTGGAGTAAAAGAAGGGAAAATGGGGATGAAGATCCCCAAATTTGGAGGCTTGCATTAGAGTTGGTCTTACTATAGTGGATCCAGCGAGGGAACAATTCAGTTCCCAACTTCCCATATCTGCAATTGAGATGTGAGAGAAACCAAATCGTCCCAGGCGGGAAATTTGGGGAAATTTTACGTATTCGTTTTTATTTTTTGGGTTTAACTAATGAATAATAGTTTAGGGGAAAATATGTGATAATTGAATTTTTTTAATGTTTTGTATGATGATTAGGCAGTGATGTGGCGTTTAATTAAGTTGGCACGTCACAAATATTTCCAGCTCAGCAATTAAGTTGTCATGTCATATTTACCTAACGGTAAATTGGATGAAAAAGTTAATGGTTTGACTATTATTTTATTTTTTTGAAAATTTTGGCTATTATTTTGTTGAAAATCGAAAAAGTTTGGCTATTATTTGTATTTACCCTTAATTTTATGTGAATAAAAATAATAAATAAGTTTTTGGTCTAGTGGCTAGACGTGTGCAACTATGTCATGAGAACTTTGATCCAATAGTGAATGACATTTTAGGATCATGTGTCGGATAAAAAGGGCATTGTGTCCGGTTTAAATGTCAAATTCAGTTAATTTTTCTTAGGTATTTATAAATTTAAGGGTCCAAAGACCGGACCACTTTACATTCGATTCGGTGCAGTCTTGTTGCAAAGATATAAATTTATGTGACCAAAGATCGGACCATATTATATTCGATTCAGTGTAATCCAGTCCAAACGTCATCATCAAGTTCGTCCATTACGGCTAGGTACGGATCAGTGTAATCCAATCCATATATCATCATCAGGTTGGTCCAATGCGACTAGGTACAGACCAACCCGTTGCACTTGCACACTCCTAACAGTGACCAAATATGATTATGTCATCTTCATCTAGTGAGTTCTATATGAAAGCATACATGCTTACTTTTTATTTTTGTAGTAATATCAAGGTTCTAAAAGGCGCTCGGCTCCTGACTTGCGCCTTGCCCGATTAGGCGTAGCCTAGGCGTGCCTAGGCGTTCAGAGCATAAATGGAAAAATTCTCAAATATTTCCTTTTTTCTGGAATAATTCATATAATCCAAGTGCATATAAAATTAGCAATGCCTAGTTCTTAACAGTAAACACTTAACATAACAAATAACAAGCAAATAGTCATCTGCTAATAGGTTCTTATATAGGCAAGAAGGTTGTGCTACGTACCGAGGAGAAGGAAGGAGCAGCAATTTATGAGTTTCGACTTTATTTCCCACTATAGCAGCGGAGCGGTGTAAAGGCGAGAAGAGTGATCGATAACTTTCTCCTGCGGCGGCAAAGAGCAGCAAATGGGGCGAGAGCTAGGGTGGCAGGCGGTAGCAGATGGGGCGAGAGCTAGGGCGGCAGGCGGCAGCAGATGTTACTTCCGTGTTTCTGATTTTCTAGGGCAAGAGGCAAGTTTCTAATTTTCTAGGATAAAACGAAGAGTATTGGGTTTAACCGCCTAAAGCTCGCCCAGGCACGCCTTCTCTCCACTAGGCGCAAAGTAAGCGCTATTCCTACCTACTAAGCGCTACCAGTGCTTTTTACAACGCCTATGGGCAAGTCAAGGCGATCCTCCACCCTCCAGCGCCACGACTACCCACCTGGTGTGGCGTGGTGCTACAGGAAGGCGTTCTCCATGGAGAAGGACGCTCTGGTGGCTGTTTATCTCCGTTACACCAACGGGGACGTTTACATGAGTTGCTACGAGATATGGGCGTCGATGGATTTCCGGATTAATAATAATAATAATGGGAATGGATGCGTTTGGACCAAGTACTTCACTGTCGCCGCCAGTGCGCCGCCTTTGAGCGACTATTTCCACCTCCCTGGGCTTTTCGGGCCACGCGGCAAGTGCTTCGTCGTCGACGGCATAGGAGGGTTGAAAGTTTATGATGTGGAGACGATGGCCATGGACGAGGACGAGGATGATGTTCGGATTTCAGGGAAAATGTTTAGTTTCCAAGTTGCGTCCTACGTTCCGTCCACACGTTCCTTGTTTCCCGCTGTTTGTGGGGATCTTCCAGTGATTGACGAAGTTCTATCCACGCAGCCGTTGTCTTCCACTGTTTGTCGTCGGAATCTTCCAGCGATTCTCAACGTTGGGATCTCGTTCCTTCGTCGTAGTAGAGTCGCTACGAATCTGTTCAAGTGGATTGGACAATTGTTTTGGTCGGTTTTGAATTTTGGAATGAGAATCAGACTGCGTTTGGGTTAGGAATTGAGATTAGTCTGATGCCATAATTTGGTAGTAATAAAGTCTGTAAGTTATGCTTTTTGTGGGATGCTTTCAGTACAAAGTTCACGGTTGGCTCACTTTAAATCTCTTTTTCTTGATTTGGTTTTACTGCTTTATTTTATAGCCATGCACACATTTTATTTTATTAATATTAGTTGAGTGAATTATAAGTACAACACGGTCCATTATCGCTCTGCAACAACAACAACAACAAAAAAACAGTACTATAAATTCTTGTGATAATTTGTGATATTTAATAATTTGGGGTAGCATTAGGGAATTATCCATTTATATATATATTCTTATAAGTGGGATTAAGCCACTAAGTAAGATTAAACCATAATCAATTTTCCTATTCTCTCCTCTTCCTCTCTCTACTGCCAAAACCCTTCCCTACTGCTGTTGCCACAACATCTCTCCTCTCTTCCTCCAACAATTCCCCATCTCCCTTCTTTACTTCTTCATCCCACGACAAAGGCGATTACCACCTTGGTAATTGCTTCTTTCTCCCAATTGCCTTGCATGCGATATAACCCTAATTCTATATTTCTATCATCTAGTATCAGAGCCCCGTTCTGATCCACGTGAATAATCTAGGAACACAAGTGACGAGCTTTGGCGGTAACCAAATTTCAGAAGGTTGCAAAGAAGACTGCTGAGGAGGCTGCCAGGGAGAAGGCAACCGGGGGCGCTGCAACAGCGGGGCAAGGAGACGACGGAGAGGTTCCATCTGCGGTGGTCGTTCCTTCGAAATTCGGGACGACAAAGAAAGCATCGTCACAGTCTGCCAAAGCGCTGGAGACGGTGACAATGGTGGATGAGACCGGGTTTGATGAACTCTGGATCGCCGTGAAGGAGCTAATAGCCGACCGGGTGCATGTTGAAAAGAAGCACCAAGAAGATATGGAGGAAATTCGACGATCCCTAACCAAGCTCGCAAGGGATTCCGAGGTGATACAAGGAAGACAGCAGAGGATCAAGGTGGCCATGGGTCTCCAGTTCGAGACAGGGGAGAAGGATGAATCGGCAGTGTCCTCGAATGGGGCGGCGGGAGAGGCAGGCGGGACAGGAGCACCAGCCTATCTAGGGCAGGAGTCTTCCGGGCGTGCAGGCCACGTTCAGATTGGGCGCAGGAGCGGATCGGGGCTGCTTCCAACGCCAACGACCGAGGAAATTGCAGCACGGTGTGGCAAGGCCAAAATGTCGGGTTATGACAACTTGGGCCATAATTTGGGTTCTAGGTCACTGGGCCCGATGACTCAAGAAAAAAAGGAAGGGCGAGCTAAGGAGCCCAATAGGTTAGGGTTGTTGGGCTTGGATCAAGCCCAAGAAGCTTACGAGTTGAGCTTAGCAGGCCAGCTGGAAGGGTGGACCGAACCAAACATGAGCCCGGTGGGGCTGGACCAGTTGTGGGCGGCCAAAAATGTTGGGTTTGGGTCGAACCAAACCAGCCAAATCGATTGGACCAAACCTAGTCTGACCAGTTGGACCAACTCTGGTCGAACCAGAATCAAACCGGCCTGGGGAGACGAGCAGCAGGGCAGACAGGTTAGCAGGGTTCAATCGAGCTGGTGGGGACCTTTCAGGGAGGTAGGGGGTTCACAACCTCCACGCATGATCCTAGGAGCCGAGGGGTGTATGGGAAAGAGGATGCAGGGTTGTGGTTGTATGCAGCTGACAAGTGGTTTAAAAATCACCTGACTCGAGAGGGGAGGAAGGCGCATCTGGCTTCCTTCTACCTGGAGGGTGATGCTCTACACTGGTGGGAGTGGCTGGAGAGATCTTATGCTACCGCGAGGACACTAATCGGGTGGCCCATGTTCGAGGAGGAACTCCGGTATCAGTTTGGAAAATTGAAAGGATGGGCACCAGAGCAGTTTGCCAAGCTGAGGCATACGGGAACGGTGGCGGAGTACAGGTCGGAGTTTCTTAAGATGGGGAATCAGTGCAAGAGGGTGCCCGAAGAAACGCTGGTGGGGTTGTGCCTAGCTGGCCTTGAGCCCGAGATCGCAGCGGCGGTAAGGGTGTTCGAGTCAGATGCGGTAAGGACGGATTTCCGTCTAGCAGGTCATAAGGAGGAGGAGCTCGCTAGCTGGAGAAGTACCATCGGTCGCTACCAGAGGCCAAGTGGAGGTGGAAGCGCGCCTGCAGGGGCGAGCACGCGGTTGCTGGACCCAGACCCGGTCCTCGAGCGCCACCAAAGGGCTTCGTCAGATTATCACCTCAGAGATTGAGCTGAAGAGATGGGAGGGAAAGTGCTTCAACTGCAATGAGCGGTTCCCCATCGGTTACCAGTGCGCGAAGCCAGATTTAATGATGCTTGTAGGCCGCTGGGAAGACGAAGCAGAGGAGGAGGAGGTGGACGCCAAGGAAAAGAACTAGTGAGCTAGAGTCAATCTTGAAGGTAAGGTTGTTCTCAAGGAGGCGAGGATGATAGAAACCCATATTTTCTGCATTTTTATTATTCGGATTGTCTTTATCAGTTTATTGTTCTTGTGACTTATGGGGATTTATTGTGGGTCAATTGTGGATATTTAATAATTTGGGGTATGATTAGGGAATTATCTATATATATATATATATACTCTCTCTGCTGCCGAAACCCTCCCTTCTTCCCTGCTCAAGATATGGTGCATAACCCATGGTTATGCACCCATCCATAACTAAATCGGGGACCATTATTTAGAAAATCTAGATCTAAGGGTGAAAATTAAAGACATCTTTATTTTTCCTTGTTTTCTTAATCGGCTCATATCTTCTTCATTTTAACTTGGATTTCAATTATTTTTTTGCACAGATGGAACGAGTACGTTGTGATCTACAAAATGATATCCATTTTCAATATTTTTTGAGAAAAAAAAATTAACGCCTCTCGTTACCAATTGCATATCATATGGTATTTTCTTCGTTTTTAAGTTGTTTTAAAAAAACAATTCACAGAATGAACGAGTTCATGATTTATTGGACCTACAAATTTCTGGGTGAACAAAATACAGTACCAAAAAATACCACACAATACCATACAATACCACCCTGGTACTTGGTGGTATCTTGTGGTACACAATGTTGAAAGTCGTAAACGACAGTTGGAAGTCGTTTGCTTGTAGGATTTTCATCATGGATTTTGGATCAAAATCCCACACCCATGGGATTATGCACAAAGTCCATGTTTGGTGTTAAACTTGGTGTTGGATTATGGTGTATGGACCCCATGGATGTGGAATTATTTTGAGGTCAAAATGAGTGGGGTTCACGGATTATAAAATCCCACCTAGAGGTCGTTTGCTTGAGGGTTTTGATGATGTATTCAACCATCCTACAGTCTTGGTATGTTTATACCACCATGGTACGCTTTTCATACAATATGCTATGCTCTTATTTCAATACCAGTCAATACCATATGGTATAGACTGATAAAAAATAGCTCAATTTCTTTTGTTCCAAAAATATATCAAATTGTATATAATTTTGAAGAGAACAATTAATCTAATCCAACTGTGCAAAAAAAAAATTAATTTCGACTTAAGAAATCGTCCGTTAAAGATTAAAGGAGAAAATATTAAAGGCTTTACAGGAGAGAGAATTGGCGTTGATATGACGGATTCTGATTGGATTATGCATAATTATTGACCACAAGGTTATTGACTGAATCCGCTCCCATTATTCCCTATTGCTGCCCGCAGCACCTCTCCTATATTCCTCCAACAATTCCCCATCTCCCTTCTTTACTTCTTCATCCCACGACAAAGACGATTACTAACTTAATAATTGCTTCTTTCCCCCAATTCCCTAGCATCCAATAGAACCCTAATTCTAGGTTTCTATCATCCCTACCATAAATGATTAATCATTGTGAAACTCCCTCGCAGTCGCATTACAGTTACTGACATCAAAACCCTAAAACCTCATCAATGGGTTGCTACAACTCCAGGCCAAAAAAAGCCGGTGAAGACCAGATTTCGTCATTACCAGAAAAAATCATCCATCATCAGATCCTCCCTCGCCTCCAATCCACAAGACTCACCAACAGGATCATCGTCCTCTCCAAAAGATGGGCCCAACTCTGGCGCTCGTATCTGATCCTCGAGTTCGATGCCCAAAAAGATTTCAACTCCAAGGAATCCATGCAGAGAATCGCCGACGCCGTAAAGACGAAGTTATCCTCTTCTTCCCACAACACCCACACCGCCGTCAGGATCGACGTCGATTTCGAACACTGCGACCAAGACATTTTCACCAACTTTATCGACGTCCTGCTCGAAACCGTCGCCGCCGCCAAAACGCCGACGCGAGAGATTGACGTCATGTGGGGATTTGGAGCTCCGATTATCCTTATAGCCTCCCCCTCAACTTGCTGCGGTCGCCGCCTGAACCGTTACTCTGCCGCCGCTATAACACCCAAGTTCTCAAGTTGCGATACTGCAGCTTTGACCGCTACTGTTAAAAATCGAACAGAAAAATCTAGGGTTACCGATCTGGCTGAGTCGCAGACTAGGTCGCTCTCTTAAGACGTTCGTGGCACTGCCTCGTATTGCGCACAGCAGACTATTAGCCCGGTCGCCTCGAGGATAAAACAACCACTCTTTTGATTTGCTCAACGGTTTTGTGCGAAAAAACTGGAGTTCTTTGAATCTCACTCTCTCTCATGTTTCCGCTCTATGAGGTGTCTTTAGAGGGTCTTGGGATTCATGCTTCACTATGCATGAACTTTTCGCATACTACTCATGACTTGTTATTACCCATTGAACTCATTTCTTAGGATCTCTAGTCTATTGGGTCGGGTTACCATCACTTGTAGTATGTGGTTCGGTAGGCATATGTCTCATACCTTCGTGGTATTTTGGACTTTTCTCTCTAGATATTCCTTTAGTCAAAGGATCAGCTAGATTATGTTAGGATCTTACATGATCCACCCTCATTGGTCCTATCATTAGGAGTTCTGTAACAGTATTGTGCTTACGACGAATTTGTCGTCTCTTTTTGTTCTAGAACCAGTTCCCTTCTTTAGCAATAGTTGCGGTGTTATCACAATAAATGAACTATCGGAGGGATCGGTCTTTCCCATAAGGGTATCTCTAGTAGTGACCCTCTCAATCAACTTTCCTCTTTACTAACCATTGCTAGTTCTATCATTTCTGATTTCTTAGTTGATTGAGCCAAGATCGTTTACTTATTGGACTTCCAAAACGCAACTCTTCTAGCGATGTTCAAAATGCCCATTGGATGCCTTGGAGTCCTCTATAGGTATTCTCGTCCGCATCAGTATACCCTACCAATACATCAAGAAACCGTTGATAACATATATCAAGGCCTACTGTTCACTTAAGGTGCCTCATGACCCTTTTCAATAGCATTTCAATACTCATACTAGGACAATCAGTAAACTTGCCAAGTACCCCCACTATGTTGGGTCTCATGTTTGTCAGCTGCCTCTCGCAGACTGTCGATGCTAGTAGTTCTTACTTTCTTACACAGTCTTTGGTGCTCTTTTAAAAATTGTACTAGCATCTTCAAACATTTAGGCAAGTGTACAACATGTATTTCTTATAGATCTTAACCAAAAGGTTAGATTGATCTATAAAAAAAATCTCTTTCACTGTCCTAGTCATTTGGATCTCTAAGCATAACACTTGGATCCTTCTTATCAAGATTCTCACTCAACACGATTTTCACATTTATTCGTGTCATGAGTCTTTGCAACAAAGATCAACATGTCTTTTATAGCAAGTGTCATTCTCAAGTTTGTAACAAATGCGCTTGTCACTTTCATTCAAAAACCATGAGAGAGAACCTGATTATTCATGCCACTGTTTTGAGTCTATTTCAAATCCTATCATGATTTGTCTAACCATAGACTCCAGAAGCATGTTCAAGATAACAACCTCTTAGGTTGTCCCAAGTAGATTTCTTTATCTAAGTCACCATTCACAAAAGAAGTTTAACATCCGTATGACGTTTGTTATTCTACATATTGGTGAATAAATATCGAAGAAATCTATAATTTTTCCTCTTCTCCTAAAGCCTTAGCTACTAGGCGATCATTATACTCATAAACTAAACCATTAGGTTACAGTTTTTCTTTTAGAAATCCATTTATTACCTTGGCTTCATTGCCAGGAGGTAATTCTCGAAGAAGTAAATCTTGTTCGGTTCCATTCTCTCGTGGGATTAAGTCGATTTTGGGTGACTTTGAAGATGCGTGGTAAGTTGTTGGATGAGGTATATGTGCCACTGCCTAATTGACCACTTGAGATCTGAGTTTTACACTTCTGTTTGAATTAATGACAGTGCTTATTGTCAAGCTATAATATGGTCACTTATTGACAGAATTACGTAGTTCGTTTTGGAGATGAAGAGTCACCTGCTCCAGCTATCGAACATCTGAAATTGTCGCCAGATCTGTTAGTATCGCGCGAAAAGAATGTTTTGCTGGATGGCTTGTTTTGGAGTTGTCGTCCTAAACTTGTATTTTTCATCGACGGGCCGATATCGGAGGTGGGTTTACGGTCTGCTACTAAGGTATGTACGTACGTATAGCTAAATGATGGAATCATTGAAATGGAATTAGTTGCTTGAAAAAAATGTTACTCCTTTTCTCAAGATGTTTGCTCATCTTGCCTTTCACAACTAGGACATCCTTTTTTTTTCCCTTATACTATAGAATTGAATTTTTTTTCCTTTGTTTCTAGTGTATAATCAAGCTCTTCGAGATGAAATACTCTCATGCTCGTTGTCACATCGAATGCAAGTATTGGCTCCATCAATTGAAAGATGTCAGAATCTTAACCAGGACTACAAACGGGAGCATTATAGGAGAGAAAGTGGTGGATATTTCAAACTTTATCATTTCATCTCTTGCAGGAAAGGATCAAACTTGGATTCTATTGAATTGAGCCTAAAATTTAAAATGTTGTGTTCTGATCTTTTTATTTTCTTACAAGTTCTTAGAATTATGTCAGACATAACTTTATGTAATTTTCTAATTAATGGGGACTTTTAAGTACATTTAGCGTATATTTCGTGATGATATAATTTTTGTATTTTGATGGCATTTTAACGCATCTACTCAAACGAATACCTAAAGATACTATATACTTGCATTTTTACAAACTTTCAAGTGATCTTGACACTATTAGCCATCATGTTTCTCAATCCGGCCTTATCCATCATAAGTGCACACAAAACCAAAGTCATTGTTTTTTTAAGTGACTAGACTTCATCCTTACATAAGTAGAATCTTTCAGTAAAAGTCTACATATTGTTTAGTTCGTATTAGACGGGTCTGTCGGGTTACTGTTCTTATTTTAACACCTATACTGCTAACCAGCGGGACCTGAATAATATTTATTAGGGCTAAATCCAATAGGAAGTCCAAACTATTTAAAAAGTGTCATTTGTGTCCTAAACTATTTAATATGAAAAATTTGGCACAAACTATATATGTTATGTGACATTTGTATCCTAAACTATTCAATATGAAAAATCTGGCACAAACCACATAGATGTTGACTAGATGTTAACGGTCAAAGCCGGTCAAGATTAACGAAAAAATTATTCTTACCAGATTTTTAATATCGAATAGTTTAGAATACAAAATGAAATTTTTTAAATAATTTAGACTTTATAGCGTAATTATACTATTTATTATTATGATTTCCGGTCAAAAGTGGCGCCGAGGAAACCTGTACGCTAAGCTTTAATTTGTACTGTGGTGGGTCGATCTAGAACCCTCCGAAGAATGGCGGCCCATTTTGTTTACGTAGAAAAATGGTGGAAATGAAATGCACGAAAGAACTTTCCATTACATGTTGAAAATCCCCTAACCAATCCACCAACCGTTTCGCCCACCACCAGCTATATATCCACTTTAAACCGTGATTTGGGCAATCCACCAAATATCGTATTAATATAACCCTTAACTTTACACTTTATCTACTTAATTGGACCTTTCAAAAAGCTGTATTTGTCTAATGGTTTATATTATTGCTCATGACTAAAGATCATGAATAAAATATTATATTCTTGTCAGAAAGATATTTTATTTCAAATGACGATGTTTTTTCATTATATTATTATGTTTAAAAGTCAATTTAGATCGCATCTTAAGTCTAGAATAGGACATTCACAATTTATGAGTTGAACGACCTGTATCGATTTTATACAGGACTAAAAACTGGCATGATTTGCTTCTGACAGTGTATGTCCCGCCCCTGAGGAGTCAGTTTATATAACTGACCCATCTGTTTTTTTTTTACAAAAGATAATCACATATATTCATTAAAAGAGAGATAATTACATCATGGAGTTCAACCAGGGCAGAAAATCAAAAGATCGACTTGTAGTCGGGTACAATGAAAGGGCATTTTTAGCCACCACATTGGCTACCCTATTGGTACATCGTCCTACAAATCGTACACTAAGTCCATTATGAATATCGAAGTAATGACCTCCTCAAGAAGAACACCCACCCTACTATCTTGGGAATTTGATTGCTTGATCTTATCAATGACAACTTTACTATCCCCTTCAAAGCGAATCTCCGAAAACCCCATGCTTAAACACAAAAGAATAGCCTCCCGAAGAACAAGTACCTCCACCACCATAGGATCATCCACATCCGCGAACTGAACCCCACTAGCCAGGATAACATGCCCTGCCTGATCACGGACAACCATCCCACCAGCCGAGTGGGAACCAGTCCTCGTCGCCCCATCCCACTAGCAAACCATCTCAGTCGGATGGTCAGAGGCCAGAGGTCGGGGGGAAGGAGGGTGAGTCTGAGCCCCACGGTCAACAAGCAAGGTAACCCACTCTTGGTACTGTTGGTTAAACTGGCGCATGAGGGTCAAGATCCCAAACTGCTAGCCCTCAAATACCACCCAGTTACGTGATCGTCAGATTCTCCAAAGTAACGCAATAACCGCCAGAAAAAAGATTGGGTTGATCTAAGAGGAGCATCAACTTCTTCAGGAACAAAGGGGAAGTGTGGCAAGGCAGGCCCTGTCCCAGATGGTCCAGACCCGAATGATCCCATAATGCCCTAGCCACTGGGCAATCAAGAAACAAATGCTCCATTGTCTCCGATTCCGCCCAGCAGATCGGACATCGAGGAAGCACCGAGACCTTCTTTTCAATGAGAGCCTCTGTGGTAGGGAGAAGCCGGTTAAAAATCTGCCAACCAAACACTTTCAACTTGGGAGGAATATTGGCATCCCATAAACGGATCCAACTGGCTCTATCCATCTAACTAGCCACAGAATTCCAACACCCACCCTGTTGATCCAACAAGATTGCAAAATGGTAGGCATAATTAACAGAGAAGACCCCATCGGACGGGCCATGCCATATCAACTTATCATCCACCGAGTGCCTAGGAAGAGGAATCAACTTGATTGCGCGGACAGTCACCGGGTCAAACCATTGTCTTAGTTGAGACTCAAACCAGAGACCCTCGCCTTGGCAAAGAACCTCAGCCACACTTAGTTCCTCTTGTAGAAGCACCCGGGGATTATATGCTAGGGGAGAGGGGTGCAATCGAGGAATCCAGTTATAATCAAGAAAGGGAGCCTTTTGACCATTCTCAACCTGCCATCGAAGATCCTTCATTAAAAGCTCTCGTCCATATAGGATACTCTGCCACCCCCACTAGGGACGAGATCGTGCCGTAGCAGTGAGGAACGTGCCCCTTGAAAAATATTTCCCATTGTAAACTTGGTATAAGAGAGTATGGGGTTCGGTGAGAATATGCCAACCAATTTTGGCTAGAAGCGCCTGATTATAGTGCTCAAAACGACGGAACCCCATACCACCATCATGCTTACTCCGGCACATGTTCCGCCTCGACATCTACCAAATCTTTGACTTACCCTCCTCAACACCCCACCAAAATCTGGGCACATGTTTGTTCAAGAGACGAAAAAGAGAGAGAGGTAGTTTAAAACAAGACACGACATGCAACGGTAGGGCTAAAGCCACCGATTTGATCAAAGTCCCTTTAGCTGCCCAATATAACGTCCGTTGCTTCCGCCCCTGAAGGCGAGCCAGCAGTTTTTCCTCTAAGTACCGAAAGGTCTACATTTTTTACTGAGCTATGAGAGAAGTTAAACCATATCCTGGACACCCACCGCTCCTACTCCCAAAATTTGAGCCAAGAACTCTTGGTCTGGCAAAGAAATGGTTTTACTAAAGCAGACCGCCGATTTGGCCAAATTCACCCGCTTACCGCTCATCTCCTCATATTCATTTAACACCTCGGTCAATTTTTCACATTCCTGGAGGATACCTCGGAGGAAAAGGTAAGAGTCATCGACAAAAAAGAGGTGCGATATCCGAGGAGCGCGTGTGGCAACCTTAACCCCTTCGAGTTGTCCTTTAGAAATGGCTTTCCGGAGGAGTGCCGCAAACCCCTCTATGCAAATCACAAATAACAGAGGAGGAAAGCAAATCCCCCTGGCGTAGACCTCTAGAAGTGGAAAAGAAACCCGAGGGGGTACCATTCATCTGGACAGAAAAAGAAGCCGAGCGAAGGCACTCATGTATCCAACCTGGCCAGGTTGAGTTATAGCCCATCTTATCCAAAGCCGCTAGGTGAAAGAGCCATTCGACTCTATCATAGGCCTTATCATGTCGACCTTTAGAGTCATGTGCCCTTTCTTCCAGCGCTTTTGGATTTTCAAGTAATGCATTAACTCATGCCCTAAAAGGACATTTTCTACTTTTTGCCTTTCCCTGATGAACGCATTTTGCCCTTCTGAGCTGCCTCATGGACTCAATGTTATCCACCTTTGGAATTAGCGTCAACCAGGTTTGATTAAAGCTTCGTAGAGAAGAAAGAGCATACCGCTTTTATCACTGACTCACCAACAATATCCCAGAAGGCTTTGAAGAACTTTCCCATGAAACCGTCATACCCAGGGGCTTGTTTTGATCCCATGGAGGAAACCGTTTGATGCACTTCAATTGGGAGAACCTCAGTTGTAAGAGCATCATTCATTTCGGCACTAACACTACGTGCTATAGGCAGATTTGCAATCCGGTCGGCCATGTCTGTAACCTGGGTTTCAGAGGTAAACATGGTTTGGTAGAAAGATGAGACTATCTTTGCCTTTCCTATTTTCTCAGTAATCCATTCCCCGTTATCATTTCTAAGACCGGCCACAAAATTTCTCTTTCGTCGGGCCCGGATCAGCGAATGAAAATACGAAGTATTCTTATCCCCCTTCTTCAGCAACGTGACGCGATATTTCTGTTGCTAGTACACTTCCTCTGCCTCCCACTGTCGATTAAGCTCCGCTTCCAACTCCCGCACCTCATCCCAATTAATTGGGTGAAGCTGTTTAATCCGATTAATTTTCCCTTGAAGGGTCTTGATGTTACGCAACGAATTTGTTGTACCAGCCCAGCTCCAATCATACAACAAATGACGAAGTTTTTTCAATTTCTGCCAAAAATGGTACATAGGAGTCCCCTGGATTTACTCATGCCATACATAGTGAACCATAGCCTTAACCTCAGGATTAGCTACCCAGCAAACATCAAATCGAAAAAGGGGGCAATATTTCTGGCATACGGTTTATCTGACAGGAGGAGGGTCCAATGATCAGATCCTTGGTCCGTGAAGTATTTGATCAAAGTGTCAGGGAAGCAATCAATCCAAGATTGGGAGCACAATGCTCTATCCAATCTTGCACGGATAGAAGCAGAACCCATACGCCTGTTTGTCCAAGTGAATAGATCCCCTTGGAATCTCGTATAATGAAGGCAAAGATCATGAACAAAATCACGGAGAGCAATCGATTTAGCCAAATTCGAAGGGGTACCCCCATCTTTTTCCTACTCGTTTAACGTAGCATTGATATCCCCAATTACCACAAAGGGCAACTGGATTTCTGCACAGATATCACGAAGTTCGGCCAATTGCGCGGCTCTTATTGAAACATCGCAACTAATATAAACATAAACCACCACGTACGAAAAATCCACTGCATTAATACGAGACAAATAGAGAAATTTGAATGAAAAAACACTGAAGCATCAAATTCAGGGGACCAAGCAGCTACAAGCCCACCAGATGCATCAATCTCATTTTCAAAGAAACAATGAGACAAAGAAAAACCTAACTCCCGCATACGATGATAAACTACGCGCCTACAAGACCTCGTTTCAGAAAAGAAAACAAGGTCCGGCTTATTCGAATGAATTAAACTAACTGCAGTCTGGAAAGTGAGGGATAGTCCAATTCCTCTCACATTCCAAGCAATAATCCTCATTTATCCACTGGGGGCCATTCTAGGATGGCTTCCTCCACCTTTTGTTGATCCGTTTCTTCTTCAATAAATTGTTTCTTGGGGCTTGGATCCTCACCATTCACCAATATCCCCTTCGATTTCATGGATGGGCCGTTTACGACCACCATTCTCTGACTCCAAGATATTCGACCCGTACTCATTTAGTTTCAGGATCATGTTGCATTCAGACTCTTCACCTCCCCTAGACTCACCATTCACACCATGCTTGTCTCAAATGCAACCACCACTTGGCTTACATGCGACTGGCGAGGAGGTAGAGGGTGCACCATCTCAAGGTCCCTGTTTCCTTTTTGACTCTGCCTGATCGTCTAAGGTTGGGGCATGACCGGGCAGTGGGTCAACTCAAATCAACATACTGAGTTTTTAAAATTATATTTTGGTACCCAGAAATATTTTTTCTTATAATTTAGTATCTACACTGGGTTTTTGTTCCAAATATGTCTAGAAATTTTGATGATAAAATTACATTTTAGTACATTTATATTTTTATCTTAGATTATAGTATCTAAACTTTAAAACTTTACAAACAGATCCAATGTGTTGTTATGAGCAATTTCATAGCACTAGTTGTTGTGATGAGTTACGAGGTCAAAAAGTGACTCAGCCCTAATTTTACTCAATTGATCCAACAGTTACAGGATCAAAAGATTGTCCTATGTTAAATTGACCTTAACCTGTAGACAAACTGATTCAATTAGATCCTCATATTTGAGATGGGTCGAGATGGTCTTTGAGTCTCTAGGATCAAGCTTACGCACTATGAAAAATGGCGGCTGACTATTTGACTCATTGTGGAAGGAGATGAAGGATCCAAATCTAATTGGGCCGTGGTTGTTGAGTTTATCATTTTCTTGAGAGATTAAAGCACATGCTAATGCTATAGCTCAAACTCTCCTCTCAGCCATCATTTTTCTCTCCAGTCAACAACATACATATTTTTATTTTAATATAGTTGTAAGAATACAAAAAAAAGGCCATCTTTTTAATTTTCTCCTGCATGCATGTGGGGAATTTGTTGAGCCTTCATCTTTGAAGTCCAAATGCACGCTCACTCACAATAGAGAAAGTGTAGAACCAAAAGGGAAACTCGTTTCCTATATTTAAATACTAATTAGGTCAATTTTGCTTGCTTGATTATATTGTTTGTTGTATATATGCTAAAAGAATATAATGACAATTATGAAGCAAATTTAAGGACTAATAGTACTCAAAACAACAATGAGTTGCATAGTTAAAAAAAATTGAGTATTAAACAAATAACTCGTATCATTCACAGATTCTAAATATTTCAAATCAAACATCTTTTATTTTAAAGTTTGACCGAAATTGGGACATTAACACTTTTTTGGCCTAATTGTTATCAAACAAACTGAGGAAGAGATTAAGTGATTAGGTAGGTGTATATAGGGTTGGACAACGATCCGATTCATACCAAACTGAATCAGAATCAAATATATGTATATTCGATTTGATCCTATAAATTATTTTAGATATAAACAGAAATGGATCGAAATTGAATTTATATAAGAGCTAATGAAACCAAATCTACTTAACATGCATTTGGTCTTCATGTTTTTTCTTTGCTTTTGTCCGGACCTCTCTCAATTCGATCGGTTCTCGAACACCCCTAGCCCCTAGGTGTGTATGTTAAATTTCAAAAAGTATGAATTTTTTATTAAAATGGTAAATTACCGCTTAGGTCCCAGGGGACAGTAGTAATTGGAACTTTGACTTGTTTGAAAAAAATCCTGACAAGGATTCCTCATATCATATGAAGAAAGAAAGGTCAAACTTTTGCTTTTTGGATATAATAAAAAAGACCCCTTACTGCCTGTGCCTGCCTATCTAAAAAGAAAAACTGAAAACAGAGGAAGGTGGCGCGGGGGAATTGATTGGTTTCCCATGGCGGCCACCAAATTGTATCTATAAATTGTCTTCCCCATTTCCTCAGTCTCTCAAGTTTACTCATTTGTCATCAATCCTTTCCCCATAGCTAATCCCGTCATCTAGAACAACCCGATTCCTTTTACCTCGTATTTTCTTTCTACGGAGCAGTATAACATATAAGCAAGAACAAAACCTCCCCTGCAATCACCTTTGCTGCTAAGAAGAAGAAGAAGAAGAAGTGGAAGCGATATCAAAGAAGGAAATAAAAAAAAATGTGGATTTTTGGGTGGAAAGGGCCATCTGGGTTCTCAGCTCGCTCGACTGCTGAAGAAGTAACCGAAGGAATTGATGCAACTGGCCTCACCGCCATTGTTACAGGTCTCTGCTTATTTCCCTCTTTCATCTTCTGGGATTTTCTCGTTTACTCCTCCCCTCTTCCCCTTTTGGGTTCTGAGAAACCAAGGATGGAAAGTTGGAAACTGGGGGTTTTTTTTTACTACTGATCGAGTGATAGATAGAACTAGATGCGTCCCCTGTTTCAGCTTTCTACTCTGTTTACCACTTATTTTTGTTTTTGTTGTTAAAATGATTTACTGATTGGGAAAAAAAACCCCCTTTTTGGATTTGCAGGAGCTACGAGTGGAATCGGAGTTGACACAACAAGGGTTTTGGCTCTGCGGGGCGCCCATGTGGTTATGGCGGTGAGAAACGTGGAAGCTGGCAAGAAACTCAAGGAATCCATCCTAAACGAAATCCCTAGTGCCAAGATTGATGTTATGCAGTTGGAGCTCAGTTCCATGGCTTCTGTCAGGAAGTTCGCCTCTGAATACATCGCTTCCTGTCTTCCCCTCAACATTCTCATGTAATAGTTCATTCACATACAACGCACTGATCGACCGAGCTATTGAGGCGAAGTAGTTCTTTTCTGTGACGCTAATGAATTTCTTATGTGGCAGTAACAATGCTGGAATCATGGCACCACCTTTCTCGCTATCTCCCGACGGCATAGAGTTGCAGTTTGCAACCAACCATGTTGGTAATTAGCTGCTTCAATCCTTTGCAAATAGAATGAAATATCAGTTTCAGGTGTGACTAAAAAAGAACGGAACTTGTTATTGTGCAGGACACTTTCTGTTGACACATCTATTGCTGGACACGATGAAGAAGACAGCTCGTGAGAGCAATCGTGAAGGGAGGATTGTGATCGTATCGTCGGATGGCCACAAATTTGCATACAATGAAGGCATTCGACTCGACAAGATCAACAACGAAGCAGAGTGAGTACACTTTACACACCAAACTCTTCAACTAGCACAAAATCTGTGAGACTAATTTAACATTAACGTTCTGTTGGTGCAGATACAACTGCTACCGCGCTTATGGACAGTCTAAGGTTGCTAACATCCTCCACGCCAAGGAGCTCGCTAGGCGCCTCAAGGTAACAAAACTCACGAAAACATTGCTTACACCCACAAATGGTGTTAATGATATTGTTAATTACCACTGAAGCGCATGTGTGTTTTCTTAATGTAATGTGCAGGAAGAAGGGGTGAACATAACTGCTAATTCGCTTCATCCTGGTGAGATCGCGACGAATCTTGCTCGTAACAATGGCCTTCTGAATGGTAATATATATGCTCATCAATGCCTGGACTCCATCAAACTTTCCATACTCCGCCGCGTTGTTGTTTTCTTATACTTTTGTTACTGTTATGTGCAGCCATCTCCAACAGCTTTATCAAGTACCTCCTCAAAACTTCAAGCCAGGTACTGTACAGAATACACACACAGTGGTTTCCTGCTTTACTTGATTGGTTATGAAGCTGAAGTTTCTTTCTTGGACGAGGGTTAAATCCTTAGATGTAACATAACAGTGTATGTTTGATGGTTGAATACAGGGAGCTGCAACTCAGCTATATGTGGCTCTGCATCCGCAAGTGAAAGGGGTGTCAGGGGAATTCTTCAAGGACAGCAACTTATCCAAACCGGGAACTGCTCCTGCTCAAGATGAAGAGTTGGCTAAACAGCTCTGGGATTTCAGCATGAAGATGATCAAGAAACAGTAGATCTTTCATTCATGTGATTGTTCGTCGTCGGTGTTCGTTCGAGTTAATGCAATTTTACTCTGCTAGTCGGATTGTGTGCTCTGCTAAGGAATGTAACGTATGAGAGTGTAACTTGTGTAAGGTGATTTTATTTGCTTGAGGTGTTATGCGAGTTCAATATGAAAGGTATGTAACAAAGAAGAAAGAGCTTTGAATATATAAGTTGTTTTCAACAAAGTTCAATTGTTAGTCACCGGCTAAAAGTGAAAATGGTGTTGCTAGGGTTGCAATTGAGTCAAATTTCTCACATGAGTTTGAGGTTAGGTTCGGAAAAATCTCATTTGACAGCTAGCTCGTAGTAGCGTGGGGTAGGGTATAAATTACTACGTTCGACCTGCTTGTTCCGTCTCACCTCATTCTGACTCGTTCTATTTAAAAAAAATCAATATTTTATTTGTATTTTTCATATTTCAATTATAACTTCACCCGATCAAATATTAAATAGGTACAATACTTGATCTTCGGTTATTTACCTTTAATTACTCATTTTATTATCACTATTTTCCATTCATAAAGTGTTTTCCTTTGTTTTATCGTAAAATAATTATTTTTTACGTTTATTTTATTCAAATAATATATGTAAGCATGAGTCGACCTGCAAATTTCATATCCACACAAGTATTATCCAACATAACACACAATTAATATGAGACGAATATGAATATTGAAATACCCGTCACATCCCATCCTATTTTCGTCGTCGGTCTATCCATTCACCATTTATAGCGAATTAGTGATAATGCATATTCACCTTTTGAGTCTCAAGGGTAAGACATTAATGAGAGGGGGTTCAATAGTGGCAGGATCATGATTTCTCGATCATCGAAGGAAATGGCATCGTTTACTATGTTGATTTGTATGATAAATTTGGTATAAAAAATTAAAATTTAATCATTAAGAATCTGGTACAAATTAATTCTTTCTATTTGTAGACAATTTGTAGACAAATCTGTGGGAGCGGATCAGGTCAATAGTCTTATGGTGAGTAACCATGAGTACTCGTTCACATCAACATGATATCAGCATCCCTCTCTCATTGAAAGTCTTTTATATTTTCCATGATAATCTTTAACAGATGCTTTCTCTCTCGTTTTAAGTCAAATTTAAATTTTTTTTGCACAGATAAATCAGATTAATCGTGTTCTTTAAAATGATATCCACTTTGATATATTTTTTGAACAAAATTTTTTTATCATTTTTTACCAGTCAATACCGTATGGTATGCTCCTATTTAATACCATATGGTAAGAAAGCGTACCATGATGGTATGAACATACCAATATGGTAGGAAAGTTAAATACATGATAGTAGGAGTATACTAACTGTCATCTATGACTTTCATCATTGTTTACCACAAGTTACCACCCACATACAATAGTGGTAAAGTATGATAATTTTTTGTCCTGTATTTTTTTCACCAAAAAATTTGTAGATCCAATAGATCATGATGAACTCGCTCCTTCTGAGCAAACGTTTTAAAAGACGACTTAAGAACGAAGAAATTACCATATGGTATGTAGTTGGTAACGAGAGGTATGAAAAAAAGTTTCTCGAAATATATTGAAAATTGATCTCATTTTGTAGAGCACAACGAACTCGTTACATCTGTGTAAAAAATTGAAATCCGAGTTCGAACGAAGAAGATAAGAGCCGATTAAAACTAAGGAAAATAAAATGTTTTTAATTCACAATTCTTATATATGAATTTTCTGGGCCCGCTTAGATCTAAAGGTCCATATATAGTTACTCATTGGTTACTGACCGTATCCCAAGTCCAAATCTGTGGGCTCATGAATTTGAGTTTATTTTTTGATTAAAATTGGTGAACCCACGACGTTATAAATTAGTCATCATAACTTGAGATTTGGAAATTGCTAAAAATTATTATGTAAATTTATATGTTTATCTCTATAATCTTTTATTATTTCTAGTTTGACATCATTTGGTCTATCTAATATAAAATGATAAGAAAGTAAATTAGGTTAAATCTCAAACCTTATATCCATGATCAAAACATCTCAACAACACAAATGATTGCTTCAAATTCATAATGCATCAAATACATAATAAATTCTTGGGTTTTTTAAATCACAAGACCCTTTTACAGCATGAAAAACCCAAAAGCTCTACCCTCACACTCTATCGATCCAAGGGGCGGAGGATCACAACCAGTCAATCTATACCCTAATCCTGAAACCTTCAATTTTGGACACTAATCCTAAATCCATATTATAAACCCTAAACTCCAACCCTAAATCTCTAATCTCTTAAAACCTTCAAATCAAAGTAAATCTTGAATGATTTTTGTGCAAATTCATGTGTTTTCTTGTCCAACATATCGCAGGTGACAATTGACATTGTTTTGACATGAATCACCTACTCATAATGACGAATAAGAGGCTTGTGCATTGAATAAAAAAAACAAAAATTGAGTGATCCGAAGACAAAAAAAGAAAAGCACAAGTTAAAACTACTATTTCTTACTAAAAAATAGGAGTAGTATTAAACATAGTTCCCTTTTTCTAGCACCTACTATTCACTGAATACTTTTTATACTCCAGAATTACATATTTGGTCACTCAAATTACATAAATCTTTCATGTTTGCCACCCGAATTATTTTTCTTTCTTATTGACCACTAACTTTACGATTTGTTTCACCATTAATCACCGGTCGTTAGTCTCCGTTAACACCGTTAGATTTTTGATGACGTGGCAAATGGAACTGTCAAATGAGCTAACAAAAAAGCTGAGTCATGCAAGTTGACCGCCTTATCAGCTCAATACCCAACCCAACTGACCCAAGTCACTTATTTTGAATTTCCTTTTAATTTTTTATTTTATTGAGAAAAAGCTTGCACCTTCTCTGTGACTTGGAAACCTCAATCGAACTCCAGTAATCAAACTTTCCGTCGGTGGCTTCGTACATGTGCTTGGCCAAAATAGTATTCCCTAACCTGCCTATTCCGACGATGAACTGAAGCTTCAGCCTGGGTTCCTCGAACTTCTTCCAAGTCGTTAGCTCAGCCTGCGACCGTTCGATCCCGAGATGCTCTGTTTTGAACAAGGGAAGTTATCTGGGGGATTATGTCATTCTACGAAAGGCAATGAACGACGAGAAAACACGGGGAACAATGACTTTTTTGTTTGGATTGGATCTGTTGGAGGCTGAAGGAGAGGCGATGAGCCTTGCAGGTGGATCTATGAAGGAGAGGTTATTACCAAAGGCACGTATCTGTTGGATCTATTGGATCTTGTAAAAAGGTTTAATGTAGATCTACTACTTTTTCGTTTGTTTCGATCTCCGGTTGGCTTCTGATCACGGGGATAATCGGATAAAGGAGTGCGGAAGCTCTAGGGGTTCCAAATAACGGCTTTAGGTGTTTATTACAACAAAAAAAAGTTGTGCGCTTGTCACTGTGAGTAAAATCCCGCCGAACCCCCAATCTCCGCCGCGACAAACCGGCGCCACTTCCACCATCGTTGATAAATTTGTGCTAAACTGTCACCGCAAGTACTCATCTCCGCCGCAAGAAATCTTCGGGTTCGAGATGTCCGGCCGTCAATATATTGTTTCCCATTGCCGGAGAGAGGAGCTTCGGCGGCTTCGAAGGCATTGTGGATTTTCTTCTCGACGAGGGAGCCGGGACGAGGGAGAAATGTCGCATGCGGCTTAGTGCCACCACCAGGCGAGGGAGCAGCCAACGCAATTTTGCCCAGGCGGATCGGTGTTGGAGCTGGAGTAGGATGGAGGAAATCTCCGGGATGCTGCGGCAGAGCAACTCCTGCGTGTAGATGGGAAAGCCAAGAAGACGAGAGAAGGGAAGGGCCACTCCTCTGTCTATTTTTTCTATTTATTTTAATTTTTTTTATTGAGATGTCATTAAGTTAATGGTCCAGTCAGCACTTCTATTTGCCACATTATCAAAAATTTAACGGCGTCAACGGAGTCTGACGGCTAGTGACTAAAGGTGAAACAAATCGTAAAGTTAGTGGTCAATAAGAAAGAAAAGTAATTCGAGTGGTAAACGTGAAAATTTTATATAATTTGAGTGACTAAACGTTTAATTTAGCCTTATACTCCACATTCAATTTCACCATAAACTAATTTTCCCCCACAATTACTAGTTGATGTTTTTTTTTTCTTCGTATCTTATGTCCAATTTCACATAATGTTTTTTTTTTTTACATTTAGACAGCTATTTTGATACTCTTTCACTCTTCATAGGATTTTTATACTGTACACTCAATTCTATAAAATATTACGTAATTAACACAAATCAAGGCTGGTTCGAATCTTTATGGCGCGAACTTGTTCAATTTAGTGCAATTCACTGTACATCGCTCTAATATCAAGCAAATTACTACTTTGTTAGCTTGACACTAGAGCAAACGGCTCAAAAGTCAAAACTATTGTGTTTTGAGAAAAAATTTTGCAAAATGTTGTCTTAGAACGAATGTATTTCATTAATCCTTATATTTTGGAATTTTTTCCATTAATATGGTAAGTTGTCACATGGTCCGGGGACAGTAGTAATTGCAAATCTTGACTTGTTTCAAAGAAAATCCTGAAAATGATTCCTCATATCACGTGACGAAAGGTAAAACTTTTGTTTTTTGGATACAATAAACAAAGAACCCCCTCTCTGCTCGTTGAAATTGTAACTTAGTTTTAACCGAGTATTGTTTTGTTTAGGTTTGATTCGTTTATAAACAAGTCGAATTCGACCTCGACTCGTTTATGAATGAGTCTAGTCAACTCAAATACGAGTCAACTTATTTATTAAATTTTGACTCATCATTAAAAATCAAATGGTTGGTTCGATGCATGCATAATAATATACAATATATATATATATATATGGTGACTACTTCGGTGCACTCACAAAAATGAGTGCGTTCAATGCACCCAACTCAAAAACTAGTCTTAAGGTGTCGGAATTTGAATTTTAATTTGTAGAATTACTGTAATATGATTATATAACATATGATAACAACTAATTAGCGGATTACCCTAAGCCCTAGAGCTCCAATTTTGATATCTATCCCTAAACCCCAAATTGTAAACTCTAACCCTAACCCTAAATCTCTAAACTCTAAATCCTTCAAATTAAAGTGAATCTTGAATGATTTTTGTGCAAATTCATGTGTGTTATTGTTCATCACATCATTAGTGATGATTGACATCATTTGGACATAAATCACATGTTTAAAATGACGGTTATGAAGTGAGTGCACTGAATGCACCCAAAAAAGTGAGTGCACCGAAGACGCCACCATATATATATATATATATATATATATATATGGTGACTACTTCGGTGCACTCACAAAA